ATTTCAGAAAGAATTAGCAGTTTAATACTGACTGATAAAAGCAATTTGGAAATACTATCGTCTGATACTTTGGAAACGTTGGAAATAGACTGTGATCAGAGCATCTGAATGTGGAAAATGAATTGTGAGCATGGTTGAGATCGATGAGATCTGTTTCAGATGTCATGTCCGAGTGTCGATGGCTGTACACCAAGTGATCCGCTGTTGAAGACATTCGGCTTTCGAGCAAAACGTCAGTTGACAATCGAACAGATTCGTGCTGCACTCGCCGCCAATCCTGATCTTCAACGACAGATCAGGCTCATTAATCACGTGGGCTCTGCGGATGATTCGAACGGAGGTAAGTGTTTCTGTTGGATAGATAGCACCATCGCAGTGTTAATCTTTCTAGAATTATGTGTTACTGCTTAATCGAGATATAGTACTGATCTGATTAACCGTTGAATTGGAACGTGATTGGAATTTGTGATTATTTCAGAGCTTCAGCAGCAGCTGATAGCGCTCGGTGGTGATCATATTGTGAAGAAACGTTTGGTCGTTGTGAATTCAGAGGATCAACTGCGTTACTATGTCCGAACCGGCGATATTCCTGACGCTACGTCATAATCAAAACACCTCTTGATAAGATTTGATACTGATGTCTTTGAGATTCCCAATGATAGGTGAAAAGGACCATTTGCGAGAAACATTATTGAATTACTGTAAGCACACAGAATTTCAATCAAAGTTTGGAGCAGTGGTGGATGAAACGCATTTGATCTTTAAATCTGGTGTTGGTTCAAAACCAGTACGAAGAAGCTCATAGACTCGTCCGCATCTCCCAATCAGTAGAAAAATTCTGACCGTCGCAAACAATCAGAAGCGCATCGGTTCGTGAATTAAAGAATGAATAATCTCTCCTAACCACCCCGCCGTTCCTTTCATTTCCCATCGTTGATATCGTCAACTAAACACGCGTATAGAACCACTAATTGCCTAATTGATAATCATGTACATATAATTGATTACATTCGTATTGTTTCTTACTCATAACACCACAACTGATCATTCACATACAACCTCAACATATGAATGACCGCTCTAATACCCCATAAAATTTTCGGTTTTTATTGAAAATAACTTTCAATTAATTGCAATTTACTGTCGCATGTAATCACAGACCTCTTATGATAAGCACCTCATCTAAGGTCATCGAATCAGTTGTGGCTAGTTTCTCAAAACTGCTTTTTGATAATAAAGATGTTTTGTCGTTGAAATGTTACGATGTGATTTATAAAGTGTTTGAGGAAAATTGTTTGTCTTGTTTATTCATCAAAAAATAACATCTGAACCAGTTCAAACGGATAACAATAAATAAAGATCGATCAGTTAATTCAAATAAAACAAAAACGCACAATACAAAGCGCAAAAGGGTGTAATTAATCATTAGCAAAAGTGGATACACAGCAAAGATCGTAATGTCCACTCTACCAAACTTCAACACAAACATTTCACCAAGCAGTCACATCACAAACTAAAACAACATCACCTTCAACGGTGATCAACAAACTTATTTCTTACTTCTCAAACGACCTTTTCATACTTCATCACAACTTTTGAGAGTCAAATTTGCCCTCCACAACAATACACAAATGTCTGATGAGTTCAATTGCAAATTTTCGTCCTTTTTTTGATTTCGGCAAATCGTGAAATTAAAATTGTTTCGACACCTCGCAAATTTCTCATCCAAAAAACTGTTAGCCATTTGAAAAATTTCAAATCAACACCACAAAACTCATATTTGCATACACAACAATCTCCATTTCATCAATGAAATATTCTATAAGCGTAAATTCCACAGCTGAACTGTACCATAAGGAACAAGGAAAACGTCGTTAAAATATACAGAACATCTGAAGCTTTGACACACGTGCGTATTTGGTGCTTTTCTACTTGCTTTTTGTTGTTGAATTCTCATACTCGGGATTCTTTCTGAGAATCACCAAACCTTCCATACACGGTGTCAGCGATATATCTAAAAATATCAATGAATAACATTTACATTTCAGCGCAAAAAATAACATTTGCTACGTAAATCAATCTAAAAACCACCAAAGTACCACTTTGCACATGCTAAAGCGCATGAACAACATAATGTAAATATTCAAATGATTCGTCCCACCATCAAACCACTTCACATGATCATCAATGAAAGAGATTCTATCAAAATGCAAACTCCCTTATGTCATATAACAAACTCACATTCATCATTCGCCAGCTCAGCACGTTCGCCATAGGCCAACAGAACTGGAGTGGTGTGCGTCTGAAAGCCTGTGATGGTCTTCGGTTTCCCGGCCTGAGCGACCACATCGACCGCCTGTCCGACACGTACACTCACGTTCACTTGTTTCAAATTCTCCGGATTGATCTCATCCTCCACTAACGTTATCAACAGTCGCGGTTGCATAGCCAACACCATCGAATACAACAAATAGTGTTGTCGATTGTTCAGTACACCTAAATACGAACAAACCTCTAATTTTGCGTCACTAATACAAATGAAATATTATTCGATGTTCTCTTTCCTCTTTTCGAATTCGGAATGGCCATCAAACAGTTCACAGACCCGAAAAGAAAACAATCAACAAAGAACTCGGCTGAGAGGTCTTTCAATAAAGCACAAAAAATCATATTCACCGCAAAAAATACCTTCGATTTCTTCTCATGTTTCATCCACACAAACATTCTCTTCTTACCTCTCAGCGCTACGAATGGAATTTCATTGGAGGAAATAATGCCGTAACGAGTACGGAAAATACCGTGCCCATACCTATGGAGCCATATAAATTTCTCGATTGAAAAAGTCATAACCACTCACTATTATTTGCGTCTAAGAACGCGAAGCAAACGGCGAATAGACCGGCAACTGCAGCCGGACACATCAACTGACGATCCGAATGGAATGGATTCAGTGTCATCGTACCTTTACCCATATGCGTCATGCCTTGTGCCAATCTCACCAACATCAGACTCACCTGCACAAACAAATCAATCATATTAACGAATGCTACTTCTCATTCACCATATCGCTCGTACCAAAATGCGATAAAAACTTCGCAAATCAATGTTCCACGTTTCTCCACAAACACTTTTCTAGATCCGCAACACTGAATTAAGAATAACTGAAAAATCGCTACTATTCCCGCATTCCCAAGATACGCGTAAAACAAGTTCGCTACGAAAACAAAAAGGAATCAGTAACGAACATGCTCTTTATGGTGATAACTGGCCAGTTGTCTCAACATCGAGACAAGTCTCGCGTTGTTCGTACCCGCACCAACAAGACCCATCGCGAACACGGCGTTATGTGCCGTATCTGAGTCAGCATCATGCGAAAACTTCGAGAGAGATTCCAGAATTGATAGCTGCGGATTCGAAGTACTGATCAATGCTAAGGCTAATGGGACGGCACGTCGAATCACTGGCTCGCCATAACGCAACTACAAAACAAAACAATTTCGTCAAAATTATTATGCACATCGAATGTTCCAAAGAAAACTATAAAACTTGCGATACGATAAATCGAAAGCAAAAATAAGCCAACCAAATGCTCACTAACCAAGTGCCCAAACATTCTGAGACTCATTTGTGAGCCGACCTCTTCACCCATCGCAATCAGACCAATACCCAGTACGGCGACCGCTTGTTGCGCCGACAAATCCAATTTTTCCTCCTCTTTCTTGTCGTCTTTCTTGGCCGATGTTTTACTCGACGAATCTGCATCCTTTGAAGCACTGGCACTCTTTGAACTGCTCGATTTGTCTTCTTTGCTTGGCTGAATTCAGTGCAGAAATGTCCTTTGAACATTCATTAACCTTTCACATCAGCAAACGCTGCTCAATCAACAAAACGACACAATCCACAACCAACCTTCTTGCTCGTTTCCTTCGGTTCATAATGTTCCGAACAAATATGCAAAAGTTTCTGAATTTTGAGCACATTTCCAGTGCCAGCATAAGCGCAAACATCAACCAACGTCGACACCATACTTCCGAATGGTTCAGCCAAAGCACGTACACTCTCCACGAACACTTCACTCCTCTCTTGTGCTCCTGAATAACTTCATTTCTCCCTCACTGGTCACGACACAATATTCTTCAACCTCATAATCGTTTTTGCGATTGTACGAACCATTGAAAGTAGCAGTGAACTAACCTAAGAAAATGAGTGCAATTCCGAGTGCGAGGAATCGCATATTTGGATCTTGCAATTCAGTGGCATCCTTCTCCATCAGTACGTGCAACATCTCCATCGCCACGTCATGATCTGCCGTGCCAACCAAAATAAATCCAAGCGCCAAACCCGTCAATCCTTTCACCTGACATTGAAATGCATCAACGCATCATCATTCCAACAAAACCACTCCCATTCAAACGATGCGTAAACATCCATCAAAAATAACAAAACGCATAATAACGAATACCTCAGCCGTAACCGATGGCTTATTATCGCCGAGAACTTTCTTCAGTTCGTATACCACTCCACCTTCTTCATTCTTCAGAACAGTGTCACGTTTCGAGTTCGCATACGCTAAGCCCAAACCAAGAATCGAGCCGATACGCATTGTCGTACGATCGCTGTGCACGTGATCCATGAGCAATGCTGATGCAGGGTCACACGGGTCTTGGATACCCGACGAGATTAAGCCAATTGCTAGCAGAGTACCGGCCTGCAAGATACCGTTCATCTCAGCTTACGAATAAATTTCATCGTTCGATCAAAACGAAACGGAAAACTACTGAGCTAACTTAAGAGGAGTGAAATGGATCAAAATTTGGCATGTATAACGTTACCTTGATGTAGTCATCATTCACGTACAAGAATCGATCACACTGTGCAAGACCAGCATCGATATCCCATCTCCACACTAAGCCTTGACTTGCCGCAGCCGACATCATACCTTAAACAACACTAACAATATTAATAAATAAAATGAACCCCTCTCGAGTCACCAAATTGTCAGTTAAAACTGCACCAATAAAATGCTTAACTATGTTTCATTCCAATACAGAAGTGTTCAACTGAAGAGATTTTGAAACACAGATGAATTTTGGCAGAAACTAACCAAATTCTTTGTTCTTGTAGAACCAGCGATTCGCATCGTCCATTTCAGACATCATCTTATCGACGCCAAAGCCACAATTCACAAAGCCATTCACAAAAGCCGCAGCGAGATTCATACGTGCACTGTCGGGGGTCGATGCAGATGCAAACGGACCTAAACAAGCATTTGTTGATAATCACGAATTTTATTCGCTTTTAGATTCCTATGAGTATTCGATGCTAAAATTTTACGAAAATTCATTACAAATTAATGAAAGCCTAACAAATTCATAGAATGTATACAAAAATTTATATGACACGAGCACAACCTTTTCTCACAATTTACCTCACTCAAATGGAAATGTATCATCATAAGGATTGGTTCACTGCCGTATACGATTAACTCAAGACATCAACAACTCATGTGAAAATGAGATTAGTGCTAACGCGTTTGTTCCAGATGACTCTTATAGATGCCTTCCGGTGTTTTCGGTTCCATAATATCCAACTCTCTGGCCAGTGAATGAAAATAAGTGTGCAAATTTGCATTCGAGTTCAGCTCACCCAACCGATCCGCGTTCTCCACATCACCCAACTCCAAAAATATTTGATGGCGACCCAACAGAATTGCCATTTGTTTCTTCATTAACCTTTAATTAATGATTTCCTATTCGATTCATCACTTATCCAAATACTGCAGTGCACGTATCATTTCTGTCACAGTCCGTAAGTTATTCCAAACATCGATTTGAATCAGAATTCAGCAAATCAGATGAATCTTATAAACTGCTTCCAATAATTTGAACATTCACTGAACACCTACGAAACAAAAAACAAACGAATAGCAAAAAGGATATGTTCGATTGCTCACATATCTTCAGTTGCAAGGAATATTTCACGAATCATCGCCACATCGTTCAACATCACCGCACAACGTAACGCTTCGAACTGCTTCGAGAATTTCAAATAGATGTTTTTGGCCGTCTTGATCAGTATCTGATTGTCTGGATCGGGAGTGAGCGGAGAACAACTGCAATCACAAATATCTCACTCAAATTGTAATGTTAACAAGAATGCATCATCATATAAATATAACTGATCAAATAAAAGTTACATCAAAAACTCACCTAAGCAGGTACAAACAAACACGAGCATGATCAACCTCCTCCACATAATCAACCAGCAAATCCAATCGCTCGATTTCAATCAACAAGTCACACGCTTCAACCTCAGCATTATGTTTCATATTATGCTCAACAATCTCTATTGCCAGAGTTAATAATTCCTCTCTTCTGGCTCGATCCTCTGCAGACGAGCCCGATGATGCACGCCATTCTTCTGCCATTTCCATTGCTAAATGCCTGAAATCGATTGCCTTCAGCTGGATACTGAATAATAAACAAATCAAGAAACGCATTATGATTGATAACCTGAAAATTTTGATTTCAAAAACGTGACATTTTCAGAGCGTTGAATTGAAGAGTTCTCGATTCAAAAGTTACAGAGTGCAAATGACATGTCGAGAGGAGTGCAACGAACCGAACATATTCGAGACCCATGTCACCGATTGGTTCACGCATTCCTTTAAGACGGTAATTGATACAATCACTCTTCTCATCGGATGTCATCGCCAAAACTGATATCACATCTGCACATAACTTCTGCAACAAAATTCTAGCAGTCATTTGATGCCTTGAGCAGCATCCGACAGCAGCAATTTAGTGGACCGTTGAGAAGCGACGTTATCGAGAACTGCTTGTTCGGAATATATGATAGAAATGAACTGTGCAAAAGTGAAATCTACGAGTATGATCTACATGCGTGATTGTAACAACTTACTGTTCTGACTGACTAAATGAATTTACAAAACAAATCAAAATATGCGAAAGCAATGCTAAAAATAGTGATCATTTTTAATAATGTTTAGGAATACCGTCAGGAAAATGATACGGAACGAAAAAATCACCTTTACGGGTCCTTCAGCCATTTTCTCGTGGATTTCCTTCATTTTCGCGTAATGACATCTCATAAACTTGAGAGGTTTTGGCACGGAAGTCATTGATGTTGTTGAAGCTTTTATCAGTGTTCGCATCGTTTCCAGTGACGACTGATACAAAGACTCATCGGGTTCCTGGGATCGGAATTGATAACTCTTATATGTTCACACGTTCAATAAAATTATTCCAAAACAAGTTCAAAATGTGAACTTTAAATGCGATAAAACTTACACTTAAGCGTTGCACAAGCATATCGAGATCTTCTTGCAGTTTACGATCTTCCTCACTCTGGAATTGCTTTGATTTGATAAATTCATTAAATTTACGATACTTTGCTGAAATCATCCAGTAAAGGAACTGAGAAAAAGCATGCAATATACTGAAATTCATGAGAAAAAAACTTACAATTTCATCTTTTTTCTCTTCCTTTGCATCCTTTTTCTTTTTTTCAATACTTTTCGTGTCACCACTTTCATCTACTTTCTTGGACTCACTCGTCGATTTCTCAGATGCAGATTTTTCCTCAACCATCTTACCTTAAACGGAAAATAAATTCTTAATTTTTTCCACGTCAATTTGAACAGTAAATTCACTGGCGTTACTCACAGCGGAAGGATCGACATAAGGAGGATGAAAAGTCATAATAGCAACACTAAAAACGCGAATAAATAATAACGCAAAAACGAAAGTGACGATGAAATCAACAGAACATTCAACGAAGTAATCATCAAAGACGAGGAAATCCTCTGAATTTCTTAAGCACCATCCCCTCGCATAAAAAACAACCCTCAACTGCAAGATATACGACTGACACATTTTTAATAAAATCCTTTTTCAAACATATTAAATGATGACAATTGCGTTTGATGTATTTGCATATGAACGTTGTGCCAATTGAAAGTGGCGTAATTGGTCAGTTAGGAGCTCCGCTAGAATTCTACACTGTTTAGAATTTTTGACAATTGAATCAAAAATTAAAAATTAATAATTAGTTTTTTTT